GTTTCAAAGGCTGCTTGTTTAAGTAATCAAGCGCTTGTGTCTTACGAAAGGGGGTGGATTATAACATCAGTAAATAGCGGAGTTTGGGCTTTCCCCCTCTGGATGAGAGGAACCTGGGCATGTGCAGCAGTACTGGAAGTGAGTCCGGATTCGCCGGGTGCTTCGCTCACAATATTGCAGTCTGTAGAACACACAGCAGGCTTGCAAGAGTAAGCAGCTCGTAAGAAAACAGACTTACACTCATCTCTGTGTACAAACTTGGGCAAAATGAGCTCTGGTTTGGTCTTGTGCATTGTGTTAGGGTGCTCAGACTCGCTTATAAAATGGTCAAGGATGCCTCTTGTCTGGACCTGTGCCAGAAATTGCTGCTCTCCTTCCCCCGTGCCCTCCTGGCCCCCGTAAACAGTCACTGGGGCTGCCCAAGAATGACCAGATGCGACGCAGACACGAGCCCGCGTTTCCCTGCCCCTCTGGGCACTGCCTGCACGCGCCGTCTAGCAGCCGTCACCGCTCCTGAATTCTGCTCCATAAACTGTGGCCAACCCCTGTCTGCATGTTCGAAGGTCAGCATCTCGCCAGCATGTATAAACCTAAATATATCTGTGCATTTCTCTTAAAAAAGCATCAGTGCTGCATTTGGCTGGAGTGAGGTATCACGACCAACCTGGGTCTTGTTTATCAGTGGCATAAAAATGTGGCTGCAAGAAAATAAAATGCTCCACTTGGCATTGTTGTTAGGGGTCTGTCTTGTAAGCATGTGCTGTACCTGGGGCTTTCAGGATGTGTTTTAGTTCTAAAGTGATGCTTGGCATTGTTGTTAGGGATCCGTCTTGTAAGCACGTGCTTCAGGATGTGTTTTAGTTCTAAAGTGAAATGCCATCCTAGGAGCTGCTTGCTCAGGGACCCCACACTGTGAACTTGGATATCTGGCCCAGAGATTTTCAATCGCCTTCATTTCCCTTTGCTAAGTTAGATTTTTTCCCAAAATAGCAGCTCTTTGCTTGCTTAAGATATTCTTCATCCATGAAATTTAAACTCCTCTATAAAAAGAGTTAAAACGGGCAGATGTGACTTGTGGTGGTGGGTTCTCTCGCTCACCCTGGGTGAGTGCATGGGCAGGTGCTTAAACAGATGGAGGCCTTAAAGGCTGGGAATGTTTTCCTGTGCAGGCAAACTGGGGAAATGCTTTTGGAAACCCCCCAAAAAAAGGATCTTCCTGTATCCTTTGCATCCTGCCCTGGCCTGCTGCGGTTTTTGGGTGCCGGTCAGATGTCTTGCACTGATTTTTATTTTATTTATTTTTTTCCTGAAAGCTTTATAATCTCTGCATTGGAAATTCTGGCCTAGCTAAGAGTGTTTTCCCATATCCTGGAATAACCTCAGTGGTTGGGGCACTTGTCAGCTCAAGATGAGATTTGAAACACCAGACCAGGAATAGCTGAACTGGAATAAATGCCCTGAGACTTGACCCTTTTGCCTCTGATGAGTGATACAGATATATTTTGATATTTATTGATATATTTTGATTTTTTCATATATGTATATATATTGCTGCCCTTGTAAAATTATGGGATAGGAAACCCCACTATCTCCCCAGCTTTGGTCCTGTATTTTTATTCTTTTTCTCTCCTGGGGCTGCTGCAAATCAGGTTTCTTCTCAATTGTGAATCAGATTTATTCTGTTTACTTCTCCATCCGAGATTGCTTGCTTAGGGTCACTTTTTTTGTTTCCTCAACTCACTATTCTTTGCACTGTTCTCTTCTACACGAAGAACGTATCTAAAATAAGATCTTTATAGTAAAGGCATTTCCAAATTTAGGAAGTCTTGTTTGGGCAGGGACAGGGGTGAAGGTAACGGATAAATCTTTGTTGCTGGTGTGCTGAGAATTGCTGCTAAGGAATGTGCTCGGCAGGAAGGATGTTGCTGTGAAAGCAGCAGGTAGATTGCAGAGGGCTCCAGAAAACACTGTTTTTCCTATTTTTTTTTCCTACCTCGCTTTGAAAGAAAAGCAAAAAAAGTTGATGGGATGTGTATGTATGTTTGCTTTTAATTCAGTTTTAATAGAGTACCTTGGATGATGACTGCATGTTTGATTTATAACAGAGGTGAATGGAAATTTTGTGCCTTCTATTCCATGTCAACACTGTTTTAAACTATACTTCAAAAAAAAAAAAATAAAAACTTACTTTGTTCTGACAGAATTTTGTAATTGTGATCAGAATTGCAGAAAGTTTGTTTTTAAAATAAATTGCAAGGGAAGGTGTAATAACTGGGCTAGTTCCTGAATGCTGTGAGTGCCTTCGTGGTGAAACCGGGTGGTTGTGCGTGCGTTGTGCTACGTGTTTCATCGGGGCTTTCAGCATCGCCTCGGAGCTGACTCTCCATCTTCCACCTCCTCCAACTGTTTTGGAGGTTGAGGATGGTCTGGGTGGTGAGGTAAGTCCAAATAATGTTTTTAATTGCAGACTATGAAATACTTCAAGTCACTTGGAACGCAGCTGGCCTTTGTGTGTTAGGTTTCTATGAGAATAGAGACAAGCCGTATTTAAGCAGGGTCTGGAACAGTTCATCCGCCGTCTCTGATGCAACTTCCATGTGTTTTTCCTTTCCTCAGGGGTTGTGGAAGGTGACCTGGGTGCCGTCGAGGCCTACAAGTCGTCGGGGGGAGACATCGCGCGGCAGCTCTCGGCGGACGAGGTCCGCCTGCTGAATCGCCCGTCCGCGTTCGACGTGGGCTACACGCTGGTCCACCTGGCCATCCGCTTCCAGAGGCAGGACATGCTGGCCATTCTGCTCACTGAGGTGAGCCCTTCTGGCCTTGCTGAGGCTGCATAGGAAGCTCCATGACCCCACTAAGCTTAATTTAGAGCCTACCTGACAGTGAACTGCTATTTTATTTCTTGCATGGGACTCTCTGGAGCTGCCCTTATAGGGAGAAGCAGATTTCTTGCCTTGCTAATAAACTATTTTTGCCCCTTCCGTGTTGCACATGCTGGTTGCTTCCTCTCTGTGGTCTCCTTGCTTTTCATTATTTCATTTCCTTGTGTATTTTTGCCTGGTGAGCCCCAGTTCTGGTGGCCTTTGTCCTATATCATGCTTCCTTCTTAAGTCCATGACTAATTTTTTTTTTTTTCATCATTTTCATCTCAAACCTCAGATTCCTCACCTGATCTGAGGTACCCTTTTATTCTGCCACTTTCTCCTCTCTTTTGACACTAAATGCAGTTCTGAAGGCTTTGGGGAGACATAGCTGAGAACTGCCTAAGGATGACAGGGTGCATAGGGTTGAGTAATAAAGCAGCAGAGTACCTGAAGCAGGATCAGTGTAGCTGAAAATCTAAGTCCTAGATGTAAATATAAGTCCTAAAAAAATATAAGTCCTAGAGATGATCTTACCTAAATACAGATTTATTAATATTTAATATCAATAGGGATTAATTTGATCCTTATTAATACTAATAAATACATTATTTGAACCTTTTATATATGGTTAGTATTGGTGGTTTTTGTGCTGCACTTAACTATAAGGAATATGGTAAATGTAGTTGTAAGGAATATAGTAAACGTAGTCGGAAATTGAGAGATTCCTCAATTTTCCATTATCCTGCTGTGTTCCGTTATATTAAAATATTGTGAGCCCTTGCATGCCTACGTGAGGCTTTTTTATTTGTATTTTTTTCTTTCCCCCTCGCTTCTTGCTCTTCCTCCTGAGCCTTTGCACTGAAGTGCACTAACAGGGAGCGCAGTAAGTGTGTTGTGTCGCAGGTATCGCAGCACGCGGCCAAGTGCATCCCTGCCATGGTGTGTCCAGAGGTCACGGAACAGATTCGTCGCGAAATCGCCGCGTCCCTTCACCAACGCAAGGGAGACTTTGCCTGCTATTTTCTAACTGACCTTGTAACGTTTACGTTGCCTGCAGGTAATTATAAAACGCTGCTTATTATTGGCAGACTTCCCTGTCACCCTAGATGAGAACTGCTGCTTTTAGCTGCAGTTGGGGTTTGGTGTTGGGATTTGGGGTTTAGTGTTTGATTATTAACGTTATTAAGGGAAGACTGTATTGAAGTGAAGGATGGAGTGCAAATGTTTCTAGGCTTATGTAGCTAGGGTAATTTTCAGTCTTCATTTTCATTCATACCGTTTGGTCTTCTAATACACTTTACATTTTGTACCTGCTTACAGCAGTAGCACTTCTTGAATATTCTGAACTGCTCCATGACCAAGAAAATGTTCATCAAATGTTTGTCTATTAACGAAAATTATTAGAAGGTCTTTAAATTGGATTCCTGACTGAATATGGTCCTCCCAAGGAGCCGGTGCACAGACATGTGTAGTACAAGCCTTTTAAATTGATTACTGGCTTCTCTGAATCAGCTTTTATGTAAGGACAAGGAGATGCCTCAGGAGCAGTTAAGGTGCTTAGATCTGGGTGTCTGGTACCATTTTTGTTAGCCCTTTTTTGTGCTGAGAGAAATACCAAGTTGAATATTGAATCAGTGGACATAGACAACAGCTAGATGGTTGCAAGCCACTTATTTTCGAGCTCTTCATCAATACAAAATCAAGTTACTTAAGTAACTTAAGTAACTCAAGTGTGCAAGTATCATAGTAATATGTATTTTGCTGTGTTTGTCTCGGTGTAAGTACATGTGAGTTTGACAACATGCAGGTATTTATTGCATTATGAAATATAGCACTCAAAAGTTGTGCACGCTGTGTTTATCTTTAAAAATACAAAAAAGTTTCTAGTTGCAGCTCTTACTTGAAAAGTTTTTGGGTTAGTTGGTACTGACGTTTTCCCTGTCGTAGCTCAGTAGTTTTCTTATTCTCTGCCTTCCAACTTGCAAACTAACCCACAGAGCAGTGGGTTCCCTGAACTATTTCTCCAAAGTTTGCAAGAAATAACTAAGGCAGTGGTTGCTTTGGACAGGAATAAGTCTGTTGGCTCAGCAAGGTAGGGAAGTTTTTGAGTGATGGAAAACCACTACTTTGGAATTAAGCTGCCCTAAATATAGCAGCAGGGAAATTCTCCCCCTCCCTGCACCTTAAAAGTAGTTCTCTGCCTTGCTTTCTCCTTCAGTTTAACCCTCTATGTGCTCTGATGATTTTCCTGCATAAACGATAGTCAGCCTGAGACACAGTTACACTGCAGCGTGTTCTGTGGTTCTTACAGTCACAAACAATGAAACTGAAAATAAGAGCAGCTTTTTCATTAGGGATTGTAGGAAGAAAGCTGTGGTGTGAATTCTCCTGAGCACCAGCTTGTAATGTGTCTCCTTTTTAATAGTAAAATTAGATGATTCTTATTTGCTTTCTGCTTTTCCAGACATTGAAGACTTGCCACCCACAGTCCAAGAAAAGTTATTTGATGAAGTACTTGACAGAGATGTTCAGAAAGGTAAATGCTCTTGAGATTGACTGTCCCCTTTCCTTGGTCTTTGTTTATTTGCCTGAAGATTTGTTTTAAATAAAGCTGATACTTTCAAATTAACTTCCACATCAAAATCAATAAAATGCTAATATTTACATATCTCTAACTCTAATATCTCTAACTTTAACTATCTGATATCTCTAACTTTAAAAGTTAGAGAGTGAGAAGGCAGACTGTGAAAATTCTGCTCAAAAGGATCTTTAGGATTTATGGGTCTTTAAGAATTTTGCAGTTTTTAGTCTGAGCTCTTTAAAGAAAACTCAGCAATGTTTCCCCTTCAGAAATAATCCTCAAAGAAGTGATATGATGTTTTCTTTAAGGCTAGTGTATGAGGGGGGTGTTTTCCACACCACTTTGACACTATGGAACTGCTTCCAACCCTTCAACTGTTTTTGTAGTGGAAGGGGTGGAACTTAAGTTTGCCGATTTACTTAACTGGAGTGTATGCCATTAAAATCTTCAAATACTAGTAGGTTTTATAGGCGCTTACCGTCATGTTGCAGAGCTAGAAGAGGAGTCTCCCACCATCAACTGGTCCCTGCAGGTGGGCAGCTCCAGGCCACCTGGGGCATCTACGACAAGGACTCGGTGCTGCGCAAGGCTCTGCACGACAGTTTACACGACTGCTCGCATTGGTGAGGGGCCTCTGGGGGCAGCTGCTGGGGTAGCACTGAGTGGAGTCTAGTGGAGTAACAATAAAACATCCCTATGGATTTATTCTGCGCGGTGTGGATCAAAGATGTTGAGTCACAGCGTGATTCATGTCAGCTATTTCTGGTTTATTTTAAATGCGAGCACTGGGAGCCTGGACACCCTGTGAAATGAGTTATGTTATATTCAGCAAGCAGCATTTAAAACATAACATTTTTACTGTATTCTTGTAAAGAATGCAGTAATGCCACCCCTGTTAAAACTGCATTTTCTATGTGTTTGCAATGTAAATTGGCACATAGCATGTCTTGCTGCCGTTGGTGGAAGATGGGCAAAAAGACTGTTGGTAAATGACCTTTAATTCCCATATACGCTCGGTTAAAACTGCATTTTCTATATATTTGCAAATTGGCACATACCATGTCTTGCTGCTGTTGGTGGAAGATGAGCAGAAAGACTGTTAGTAAATGACCTTTAATTCCCATATACGCTTTTAGGTATTATCATTCTGTCTGCTTAGTAATAGCTTGGTTAAGAAAAGCCCTTTTTGTTCGTGTTTTGTCTGCTGAAAGTCTGCAGTAAAGCAGAAATCGTCAGTTTTGAAGTCGGGCTGTCACTGGGCCATGGAATTAATTCATCTTTTTGGGTTGAGGTTATCAGTGTACAGCAAAAATTCTCCAGTCCTGCCAGTGGAGTTGGTCTGGCCACTGGACTGCCAGTGGTGTCCACCAGGTCCCAAATATATCGTGGAACTAAGGCGAGATGTTGAGGAAGGTTGTTAACTTAGGATGCAGCAGATGAAATTCAGTCAGTTCTGTCAGGAAATCTTAAGAGCCAGAATCAGCTTTTTAATATGTTGATCGATTTACTCTGTCATTGATTAAAGATGAAACACTGGGTCTACATGGTAGCATACAAAGAAATTTAATGTAAATAGAAAAACAAAAACACAGTGACTTTAAAAACTTGAATGTGAAATTGATTAATCTTTTTTTTTTTTTTTTTTTTGCTTTTCTTTGCTAAAGCAGGGGAAACTTATTTTTCCATGTGAAATACCCGCGCTCTTGCCTCCAAAAAGTAAAATAAAACCCAGATTCTGTTAACCACAGTCTACTTGAAATTGGTATGTGAGCTCATCAGATCTTGGTTTTGTACCCTACACTTAAACCTCCATAAAATTTAGAAAGTTACAAGTTGTTGCACTCTAGTAAGGAGCCTTTTAGGACCTTTTCTCAATTATAGCCTTTTTGCTGTGGACATGAAGATACCAAGTGATATCTTGGATGAGGACTAGATGAAATGGTGTCTCTTGAAGATTAAAGAAAAATAGATCAATTTTCGTGGCATAGACTTTGTGCTCACTCCGGTACAGGAGTTGGGATACAGGGTTGCCAAGGGCTGAATGCTGTGATCAGACATGGTCGTGTAGTAGAGACATTAAAACACTTGCTCATTCTCACTGTTAATATTCCAGGTTCTACACG